CTTCCACCCCCCCCCTCCCGCCTCACCCGTCCCCAGGTCCACCATGATGTGCTTGTTCCTGAAAAAGAACATGATGGTGCAGGGGTCGTACAGCTCGTACATCGTGTTGAAATCGGGCACCTCGGATATGTCCACCTGGACGGCGGGCGGAAGCCGGAGGGGCAGGGGTGGCCGGGGCTGCTCGGATCGCGGGCCGGAGCTGCGTGGTTCGGGATGCAGGAAGGCCCGGTACACACCGGTTGGGTGGAGGGGCTGATTGCCTCGGTCTGCGCAGTCGCACTGACTTTTGTGTCGGGTTGGGCCGCCCTGCAAACGGTGCCCGACCGCCCAGCCCAGCACGTGCGCCGCCGCGTGGCCCATTGCGCGTTCGCGCGCCCAAACCATAACTGCGTGTGCAGGACGCGCGGTGGCCCTATCAAAACCCTGGGCTGCTGGCCGCCCGCTCACTAGGTATGTCGCAGCGAAATTCTTGATCTGCTCCGCGGTGCCCGCCAAAATCTCATCCATCTGCATATCGTGGGATCAGAGGTTGGCTGGCGAAAAGAAGGGCGTGGCGCACAGCAAGGACGAGCGGCGCCTTGGAGTGGCGAGTAAGGGGGTGACAGCTGGTCTCCCCTAGGTAGGGTGTCTTGCCCTAGACCGCCCAAGACCAAGTCCTAGCCTGCTGCAGCCGTTGCTCTGATTTTCGGCCCACAAGACCCTCGCAAGAGCCACTGCAACAAGCAGCAGGACTCGCCATGCCGCCCCATCCTCCCGCTGATCGCGGAGCCTGCCAGGAAGGTTCTTGACCGCTGCTACCTCTGCGATCACGCTTGACCTCAGCCGGCCCCGCTGCCTGGACCAAACCCCTTTCGAATCCTGCCTCGCAGCCGCATGCTCATATGGGCAGGGAGGCGCATGTGTTCGCAACGGCATACCCCCCACGTGCTCATGTGTGGGGGTTGACTCCCACGAGGCATGCACCCGATCACTGCAGGGGCCACGCCGAAAGACCCACCTGCATGCACACGGGGTCCCAGTCATGGCCGAATCGGATGACCACTACTCGGTCCTCCTCTGATAGGATGGCCTGGTCAACTGCATAGCCAGTCCGCAAATGCGGTAGCATGTACGACATGGCTGCTGCGTGCGCCGCCGCGCGTCTGCGCCGCCTTACTGCCTGATGGCCTGTGCACTAGGAGACCCGTGTCCGCCGTGTGCTGTTGTGCGGCTTCCCGGAACTGCCGAGTCTGGTGTACGCAGGACTGGTGCAGCAGTGCGGCGGCGTCTGCACGTTGCGTCGCTCGTAGCTGGGTGCGGGACCCTCCGCAGCGCCGCTTCACCGCACACGCCGCACCACGCTGTCCTCGGGTTGTAAAACTTCTGACGTAAGCTTTTTCACTTATACTTGATGGACGCGGTGTGGGGATGGAGGGGCACGGGGTCGCAGGGAGTGTGATCTTGCGTGTGTTGCAGCACAGCAGCTTACGTAGCAGCTCGTGTTATTATTAGAGTGGTTCAATTGCCAACGTTCATCTTGTTGTGTTCTTACAAACATCGTTTACTGTACGTCACCTGCATCACCAACCCGCGTTCCAGCTGCGCTTGCTCGCTCCCGACAGCCTCATTGCGAAGGGAATAACAAATCAACTCGGCAAGCGAGCAACCGCACGCACACGATGCGAGCCAACGCCCGCGCTCATGTGTGCCAGTGCGTTGCAAGCGGCAGCGCAGCGCTCCCGGCTCCCTGTCCGTCCCAACGGACGGACGCCGCACGCAGGACCGGCAGCGCAGCGCAGTGCATCAGCATGCGTCATAGCAGCAGTCTGTTGATGGCAAGGCATGCAGCGTGCCGATGGCCATTCAGCACTCGTCACACCCGGCTCGACGCTCGCGTGCGGGCCTCAGCGTCGGCCACGCAGCAGCAGACGGCGTCACCCGCCACGCTGGAGGCCGTGTGCAGCCAGCTTGACGCCATTCTGGTGCGGCCTGTTTTTTCAGGGCCAGGGCACAGGATTTGTAATGGTGTTTTGCTGCCGTACGTACCCCTGAAAAAGGCATGCGTGCCAGCAAGGCGGCACAGGGCCGATGCAGCGCAAGGCGACCATGCGCGGTTTCCATGTTCTGGCTGTGCCGTCGCAACGTCGCAGCGGCCGCGCCGCCAGCAGAGACGGCTTCGTCAACCCAGCCTGGCGCCCCACTACAGGAAACCATCCGTCGGCGGTTTTCACACACCCACATCCGCTGCTTGCGACCCTGCAGGCCAGGTCTGAGGAGGACAGGACGCAGGAGGCGGCAGCCAGGGCCTTGGTTGAAGAGGTGGGCGGGGGGCCCGCCGGGTTTGCTGCGAGCAAGCAGGTGTGCAGGTCACTCGCCCTTCTTTGCTGCCTGTCCCGCCATCGAAATCTTCGGCCTGGTTTTGCAGGGGTTCCCTCAGCCGAACATCTTGGGGAGACGCACCACGTGTTGCTTGGTCTCGCAGCCCGAGCGCGGCTGCTCACATGTCTATGCGGTTTGCCGTTCAACCCTGCCAGGCGGAGGGAAGAGGCCTGCTGCGGGCGTTTGGCCGCGCGCGGCAGCTGCCCAAGCAGCAGTACAGCATAGAGGACCTGCGCCTCAACAAGTGAGGGCGCGGCTGCTTCGCGGCATAAGAGCGCAGGGTGTGTCGACTCGCTGTGGTGAATTCTGTTGTCACAGCAGGATGGCGCGGCAGAATAGCGCAGATCCTTGCAAATCGGCCGCACACACATTGCAGCCGTGCGCCACCATGGTGGTCACGTGCTCGTTGGTCGGGCTGAGCCCCCTGTCCCTTCCTCTTCCCAATCAACCGGCACCTCCCAACGCCTTGTGCTCCGCACCATCTCCACAACCTGCGCTCCACAATCCTGGAATCCTTCCCGACACGACTCGCCAACCAGGATCGAACCGGAGAAGCTTCTTGCCCCGAACGACGAGAGCCTCAACCGCGTGCGCAACATCCTGCAGGGCGCCGCGGCGGCCGGCCTGGGCGCGCTGGCGTGGACCAGCGGGTTCGACATGGGCCGTGTAGTTGGCACGCTTGCGGCTGCAACATTCGTGCTGGTAGCGGACCAGGTGAGTTTGAGATTTCCAATTCACATACTTGATTTCAAAATGGCTGTCAGACCACATAAACTGGTCATAATCGTCTGTATTATGCTGGGCGCACAACCGCTGCTGTCCTCCCCCCCCGCATCGTCGCGCCTCAGCCCGTCGCAACCATATCCTTCGCCTGCGCCTCCTCGCGGTCTCCACCTGCGCATCAACGTCTGACGCAGGTGGCCAACATGGGCGGAGGAGAGGCGCTGGTGGTGGACACTTTCGGGCGGCTGCTGGATTCCAAGTGAGCCAGCAGCATCTACTCACTTGGGCCCCCCCATCTCCCCGCATCTTTCAGCCCTGCATCTTTCAGGGGTCGGCTGGGGGCTTCGAACCGCGCCGCCACGGCACCAACAACCGCCGGTCTCGGCCAGAGACTGCGCCGCTGCCATTTCAGCATCAGGCAGCGTGGCGG